TGCCTGTGGTTGTGTGTGTGTCAGTGTTTTTGAGGGCCCGTTCACACTAGTACAGTGCGTTAATAGAAAAGTCCTGTGCACTGTACCACACAATTGCACCTACTATGCGTTCTGGTGCAGGAGGTGCGTTGCCATTCATTTGAATGGCCCCCCAAACGCACCTCCCGTGCACAGTTCAATCACCCACACCAGAACGCGCGGTACAGCAAAGCCGTGCGTTTCATGGCAGTGCGACTTGGGTCGCAACTTAATGACCAATGACAAATGGGGGTCCCGAAATTACACACTTTGAGAACCACTGTTTCAGCCCCATGTACAGTGATGTACAGTGATTCTTTGAAGCTGTGATGCTACTCCCGCGACCAACAGCGTTGGTAATTTTTCCCTGAATGCCCTTCCTGGCCGCATCATATCTGTCTCAAAGTATGGCAAATCTATCTCAAAGTATGGCAAATTGACAGAAAAATGCACCGAAACAAGGATTTAGGCAGGTGTTTATTATCACAATTCTGTTTTGGCAAAAAAGATGAAGTTTAGCTTCCATGTATCACCCATCAGATTTGATCTTCCAAGGCAGTGTTAAATTAATGTGTGGCTTTGATGAACGTCTTAGTACTAAAACAATAATGCATGCTTTGTGGGAGATACTGAAAGAAGCCCATAGTAGGTGTGTGTGGGAACACCTCTCCTCCATTACAATAAGGGAAGCTAAATGAGTTCCAAGATCCCATATTACTGATAAGAGACTGGGGTGGGGCTGGTGCAGTACAGCAATGCTCGGGTGAAAACTTGGAAAGAGTAAATACTTCTGTTTTTTATTGAGCTTACACTTCACTTACTGACCCTCTGACAGAAGGGCAAGATATATGGGGAACGGACATCACAGGGGCAGGAAGTTACATGGAGTAATAATAACCTAACAGGGTTCTAACCCATCGCTATTTTACTGAAAAAATTACAGGGGTTTTAAGCCTTTCAAACACCGTCCAAAACTGAAACTCAACTGCCTGGAGTTGAGCTTTTAATACTTAATTTTGACCACAGTGTACCTTCAAAACTTAACTTGAAAAGGAAGAGTATAGTGTCTCTGCAAAGGGCTTCCCTCAGCTTCCTTATACTCACATCCCCAAACCTTCATCCAGTACTTATGGGTATGGGACAGCATGTGGCCTCCTTGCCTGTAACAATGCTTTTGGGAAAAAAGGCCAACCTGGATATGGGAAAACATGTGATCACCTTCTTAGATGTGATGGTGAGAGTGATGAATGATTATTCCATCTCCACCACACAATTTTGTAAACAGACAGCAGGAAACACCACACGGCATGCTTCAAATGCCCACCCAGTTCCTTTAAAGAAAAGTATACCTTACAGGGTTATTCACAAAAGGGTGAAGAGTTTGGAGAAGACAGGAGAAGTGAACAATCTAGGAGAACATAGCTGAACTGGAAAGTGAGCTGAATTGGAGAATTTTTCCAAATCAGCTATTTTGGCCTAGATTGTTCACTTCTCCTGCCTTCTCCAATCTCTTCACACTTTTGTGAATAGCCCTGTATCTCTCAATATTTAGGGCTAAGATGTAATTGTTCGACTGAAGATGATTTTTCTGATGAGGCCAATAAATTAAGAGATAGGCTGGATGCTCGGAAATATGGCAAAAATAATTTCAAAGGCAAAGGCCAAAAGTAGAGAAGAAATACTTTATGGTGTCGCAAGTCTGATGAGACTGATAATCTTAGCTTACAAACTATTAGAATCTTTACAATCTTGTGAAAACATAATGCTATGTTTTGCATATTTGTGTTATGAAAATGTTTGAGGAACTGTCCTGAGGTTGTCTCAATCGCTCAAATATTGTTTAGTCAGTAGTCACCTTAGAGTACCTACTCTTACCCCCCTACTATAAATGTAAAAGGTGTAGTTACTGCTCTTCGATCTGTCAAGGACCATCTATCAAACTACCAAATGGCAAACTATGGTACCCCTGCTCACACATAACCTGTCAAACCAGAGGAATTGTTTACCTAATGTATTGCAGGTGTGGTTGTTTTTACATTCGGAAAATTATCCGACCCTTTTTAAACTAGAACTATGGGGTCAGTGTTTTTCCCCATAGTTCTCCTTAGGGTAACGGGAGGACACAAACTATCGTCCTCCCGTTACCCTTAGCTCAGTATACCGCGAGCTACAGCTCGCGGTATACTGATTAATGATCGCATTTATCTAATTAAAAACGGTAAACTTACATCTCCCATTAGTCTCAATGTGGGCATTTACCACAATTTTGATGCTTCAGCAATAAAGTTCTTTGCACTTCCCCGTGAAGATCCCCGTGGTGGGGACTGGGATAAAGTCATACTTCAACATGAGACCATGGCGATCTTTGAGCTTAAAGCTACTGACCCACCTGGCCTCAATTATGTCATTAGTTTTAAATCTTTTTGCAGCTTTTGTACCTTGGGAATTTGTATTGTTCCATCCTAAATTTATTCTTCAAACAATATTTTTGCTGCTATAACCCTATATTATAACAGCATTTAATTGATGGGTATCTTGTCAAATAAATATGTTGGCTGGTTGGTTATAAGCAGCATCTATAATTGAGTAACTATATAGCACCATATGCAAACATGTTTCAGATTTTGTTCATTTTTGACTATATATTATGTGCTTTAACCCTTTCGCTGCCAAGCCCTCCGGAACATTTTTCAAATCAGCTGGCCAAGCCATTTTTGAATTTTCTGCAATTTTTTCCAATTGATTTGATTTTCAACTACTGCGTTGCTAGCGTTTGTAAAAGACCCCCCAAACCATATATTTTCTGAAAGCGCAGGCTCGGTAGAATAAAAAGATGGTGATACTAAATTTGGCGGAGCTAGCTGTCACTGCTAGCTCCGCCCAATCATTTTCTCAACCCGGTATTTTTGAAAATAGCAGTCATCAGCGGCTTGTGACAGTCTGCTGAACAGCTCTACTATAAGCTGATGGTCGCTAAAGCGACCATCAGCTTATAGTAGAGCTGTAAATGCCAGGTCCGTACGGCATACTGAGCTGGCCAGCTGGAAGCACTTTTGTAGCTCCGTATGCCGTACGTCCTTGGCAGCGAAAGGGTTAAGCAGTATTTGTAATCAAATTATATCCAGGTGAAACTCGAATAATTAGAATATCGTGCAAAGTTCATTTATTTCACTAATGCAACTTAAAAGGTGAAACTAATATATGAGATAGACTCATTACATGCAAAGCAAGATAGTTCAAGCCGTGATTTGTCATAATTGTGATGATTATGGCTTACAGCTCATGAAAACCCCAAGAACCCCAAATCCACAACCTCAAAAAAGTAGATTATTACATGCAATCAATAAAACAAGGATTGTACATAGAACAATATCGGACCTCTGAAAAGTACAAGCATGCATATGTACTCAGTACTTGGTTTGGGCCCCTTTTGCAGCAATTACTGCAATTACTTTTGCACGATATTCTAATTATTCGAGTTTCACCTGTAAATATAGAGATGGTTTTTATTGATTTTTGTATTTTTGGATAATTTGAAGCCATTTCAGGACTGCTGCCCCCAAAGAACCCATTATTGTCATCCTCCTCTCCATGGTGTGCATTATTCCCTTCCTATATTTTGTCATGGGTAAGGGTTAGTCACTGGCTCCCTCTCTGTCTATTCCTCTCCCCTCCTCGATGGGTGTTGCTGGCCTTCCTCGGACAAGACGGAAGGGTGGAGCATTTGGGTGACGGACACTCAAAGTTGGAGATGGTAACTAGAGATGGGCAGTTTTCTTACTGATACTGTCCGTTAGTGCATTTTTCCGTTTTGCGCATGCGCCTTGTGGATCTGTCGAGTGTGTGACGTTTCGCCAGATGTGTGACGGACGCCACACATAAATAAGGCACAGAGAAATGTCTGCAGCGTCTGGCGAGATTTCCTATGTGCGCTGCAGACATCGGATTACATCTATATCAGGTCAGTGGAGTTTCACCTTTCCAGGAGTTGCTCAACATACAATCCCTCATGATCTTTGATAGTGATGGCAAATATTATGTTATTTATAGTGTCAGGCAATAAAGATGTACGCTGGAATGGGCGTTTCCCCCGTATATTGCCCTATTAAGGTAAGCTTCAGCTCAATCAGACCTGATGGTTAAAAGGTTACTACACTATATGAAGACGATTATATATTGCCCTAATTATATTGTTTTTAGAAACTGGAGGCGGGCTTCTCCTGGTCTATCTTTTCTCTGTGCCTGAGGGTTCCTTTTTGGGTTGTCAGCACCTCCTATTAAGAGGATCTTTTTTCTCATCTCGGAAAGCCCTATACAATTCTGTATTGAGTATTTATTAATTTAAGGATGAGATGGGAATACGTTTTTGGGAGACCTAATATCTATATTGCAGGACCTGCAGTAATGACACATGCTGAGAATGATATAGCTATCTTTGTCCGGCTCTAACATATCATGTGATCAATCCTAAGGGCTGCAAAGGAAAGATCTATAAAGGTGTTTAAATAAACTATGTTTTCTTAGGAACACCCACTCTTTACCATGCCCACCAACCAATGTGGGATGATGGCTCACTTCCGATGGTTCACTATATTTACCCAAGAGAAATCTGTCCCTCACCCCCTTCACAGGCCAAAGGTTTCCAGTCCACCCTTGTTTTAGAGCACCCACAATGAGCAAATTCAAATTCTGTGCAATGGTAGCAGAGAGGTGAGGAGATCAGGAGAAATCCCTGCAAAAAAAATGAAAATACTGTATTTTTCCCTAGAAGCTCTGTATTCTAGTGAGCAAATTGCTAAACACTGCAATACTTACTACAAATATTACTAGAACAGTAATCATGCCATTCCATCACGCCAGTAATACAGTATCTTAAACAGAACAATATCAATCACTCAAAGCATATAACCCTCTTTTATATGTTACTGACTCATTGAGCATCACTATCAACAGTACAGCAGGGAATTACAAAAGGTACTTACTTGCATGGCAGCACACGTACAATGTCATTTTGCTTGTAACTCTCGATGCAGACGGCACAGTGGTCAAAATCCGGGTCTGTTTCCTGCATAGGAATAAATAAAATGATTGACTCAGTATACGGAGGAGTTAAAACAAACCAGTAGGGATAGCAATATACTGTAAGTTCACCAACAAGTGTGTCACTGACCAGAAACAAGCTTGCAGCCAGTAAAGTGGTTCTAAAGTTTTCCCCTGGAACACCTTCTGACTTTCTGTTAAAGAAAAAAATTGCATATATATATATATATATAAGGAGAAGGCCTGGCTCGCAGTCTCCGTTCTATTCCCTCCCAAAGGTGTTCTATCGGGTTGAGGTCAGGACTCTGTGCCGGCCATTCATGTCCCTACACCCCAAACTCGCTCATCCATGTCTTTACGGACCTTGCTTTGTGCACTGGTGCGCAGTCATGTTGGAACAGGAAGAGGCCATCCCAAAACTGTTCACACAAAGTTGGGAGCATGAAATTGTCCAAAATGTCTTGGTATGCCGATGCCTTAAGAGTTCCCTTCACTGGTTTTAAGGGGCCAAGCCCAACCCCTGAAAAACAACCCCACACCATAATCACCCCTCCACCAAACTTTACACTTGGCACAATGCAGTCAGGCAAGTACCATTCTCCTGGCAACCACCAAACCCAGACACGTCCATCGGATTGCCAGACAGAGAAGTGTGATTCGTCACTCCAGAGAACACGTCTCTACTTTTCTAGAGTCTAGTGGTGGCGTGCTTTACACAACTGCATCCGACTCTTTGCATTGCACTTGGTGTTGTAAGGCGTGGATGCAGCTGCTCGGCCATGGAAACCCATTCCATGAAGCTCTCTATGCACTGTTGTTGTGCCAATCTAAAGGCCACATGAAGTTTTCGAGGTCTGTAGCTATTGACTCTGCAAACAGTTGGCGACTTCTGTGCACTTCAGCATGCGCTGACCCCGTTCTGTCATTTTACGTGGGCTACCACTTCGTGGCTGAGTTGATGTTGTTCCCAGTTGTTTCCATTTTGTTATAATACCACTAACAGCTGACCGTGGACATCACATTCTGCACATAATAAAGCAGTTTTTCTCTTTCCTACATATCCATTTTTCCATTCTGTTATTTGATGTTTGAGCCTCTAGTTGGCTTATTAGGCTTACTGGAAAAGAACAAACTATATCCTATTTTATTAAATACTAGCTGCACTCCGTAGTCCTAAATAAAGACATTTTTATAAACTTCAACCTTTGCTAATATGTATTATGAGTTTTAAAATAAAGAAGCCACTAGAAGCACCTTTACTTTAAAGTGTCTGTATAGAGAGAGTGTGTGTTTCTATGTGTATGCACACACACACACACACACACACACATATATATACACACATATACACACACTGTACACACACACACATATTTTTGAAGCCAAGTATATTTGAAACATTACTATTGATTTTTTGTATTTTCATTTTCAGCCAGAAGGTGAGGTTCGGGCTTCTTTTGCCATGTTATTAGTGCTTTCTCTATCTGCATTGCCTTTTTGAAGAGTGCAATAGCTCAAACTAAGGTTTAAACATACGACTGAATGACTCATGGCAGGTTCTGGCATATGAAGCTTTAATCAGATTGGGAGCCTTAAAGTGTATGTCAGGACAAAGTAATGAAATATTTATAATAAGTACATATCTGCAATAAATGCACATTTACTCATGTTTTATACCTTTAAAAATGCTGCAAGTAGAGTACACTCTGCCACAAGTCCAGAGTCCAACTTTGTGTTTGTGTTGACAATGCAGTGATTCTGCCGCAATAAAATCACAACCAGCATGCTTAGGCCTGCCTGCTGGTCTACAAAACTTATCTCCACCCCTTCTCCAAATGCATACCTTTGTTTCTCCCTTTCGTTTCAGAAAACTCATAGTGCTCTGGGAAACTTATCATGATCGCATTCTATATTCAATATTTATTTGTTAAAAAAATAAATTAAAAACAACAATAAAACTGACCCATTAAAACATGTCTCCCATGATGTAACACAGCCATCTTTACTTTACTACTACAAGTATCTTTACTACTTGTCTGGGACAGGTACATTACTGCTGAGTAGCATGATGAACAGAAAGTTGGATGACCAGCATTGCTGCATACACTACACTACTGAGAGGTCACCAGGTTTACAGGCACAGAGCTAGCAAGCTGTTACAGTGGTAATAGTGGGACTTTTCTTAATGAAGCAGAAGTGATCCTACTAAGTCAGCTCATTTTACACTACATTTGGCTTATATTTTCCATGTATGAAAAAAAAATGAATTCACTTCAGCTTCAAGAACTGAAAGAAGAACTCTAGTTAGGGTTACACACATATTTAGACTTTTTCTTATAATATTTATATAAAATCTTTATTAGACAAATAAACACAAGGTGCATCCATGGCACTCATGTTCAAGATCTTTATGGGTTTAGCTTTCTGTCCCTCACTCTTTAACAGATTCTCAATTAGGCCCCCTATGGACAGAGCAGACAAGCAAAGGCAGGGAGAAAAAGAGGATTAGTCACTCCTGTTGTGTGCACAGATCTATGCTTGAGCTACTGGGCTCTGGTGTAGACTTGTTTTCAGTTCCTTATACCTCTGGACTGTATCGTACCGAGTGTGATTTAACATATATAGAAAATGTCAGCGCTAAACTGAGATGACACAGGGACCTATACATACACACACACACACAATAGGTTGGACTTGATGGACTTTAACCTGAAATACTATGTAACTATGTAAGCTCTCTTTAGTATAGCGATTGCTTTCTTCTTCTTTTGTGAGTGTCTAACAAGCTTAGGTGTGCTACATCAGAAGCAATGTGTTCCTGGAAATTATTTTAACATTTTGGCAACTATGGTTTACTATGAAGAACAGATTCTCAATCTGGTGCCCTTGGTTGCATTTTTCTGTCAATTAGTAACTTAACTATGTCAGTCTCCGAAGGAGCAGGCTTGTGAAACGAGACTACTGTTTTCCATCACACTGTTCCTGGAAACGGTGCTATAATGCTGGCAGCTGCTTTGCAGATCTCTACATTGTCAGCAGGGTGCAGAGACTGTTTTGCAGACAACCGGCTCAGCCTTTGCATGTTAACTAAAAGCTCTCCAATGAAATTAGGTGGCGTTATTGACAAATGTGAAGTACAAAGGCAAGGGCATCAGAAACCACTGCAGGAACTAAATTAGCAGCCAGTCGATATTTCATGTAGTCATCTGATGGGGCTGTAGTGATGAATGATGGGCGTTGGCTGATATTTCTTCCCTCTTAGTTGTATATGCGTAGGCTCATTCTGCAGGCACAAATCTATTGCCTTAGCCAGAGAAGATGATACACATGTTTAATGTACCTGTAGTCAATCTACTATTAGTAAGCAGGCACCTGAAGGCAATAGCATGGATTTTCTGAGCTTGCACTTGCTAACTACTTTTTTGGAAGGGCACTACTGGAGCCCCCAAAACCAGGATGTTCTAAAAATATAGACTTTAGCTGGTATATTAGTCATTTGGTCTGTACTCTGCTGTGTTAGACCGTCTCACTGACCAGCGGGTGCATGCAAGGAAATGCAAAAGTGCCAACTTTTAACAAGAAGATTGTTTACATTCATGACAATACATGCCAGGTTTCCAGGTCAGTCTTGGAAAAAGCAGAAACTACTTGTGGCAGCACAACTGCCTTCTATTGCCCTGGCCTAATAGACAGTCTCACTGACCAATGGGTGCACACAAGGGCATGCCAAAGTGCCAACTTCCAATATGAAGTCTGTATACATTCATGACAACACAATCCGGGTTTCAGTTTTCTGGGGGCAGTCTAACTACTTGTGGGCAGTGGAAGTAATTGTATTGCTCTGCCCTGATAAACAATCTCACTCACCAATGGGTGCATATAAGAGCACACCAAAGTGCCAACTTCCAAGGCAAAGTCTGTATACAGAATATCATCCCAGGCAGACTTGAAAAAGCAGAAACTACTTGTGGGCAGCTCAAGTGCCTTCTATTGCCAGTTTACTAACAATACATTAGTTGCATGCACACTTGAAAGTCAAGCTTCAGCCAAAACATTTTGATTTCATTTTGGTAAGAGTGGGAAAGGGTTAGGACCTCTATCAGCTTTTTTTTTTGCTGTTTGTATCTCCATTGCAGAGATTATTCCTCACTTTTTGTGCAGGCGGCAAGGTGCCATGAATAGGAAAGACAGATAATGATGGGACATTTCTCCAATGCGGGGTATTGATGGTAACAAAGCAGTTATTTAGTATAATGTGGAAAGGTTAGAACATCTGTCATGTTTTATTTCTTCCTGCTTCTTCTTGTTCCAGTTAATGTGTAACCATCCCATATACTGTACATATCTCATCAACCCCGATGTACTTCGGGTCAATGGACAGCGATAGCCAAAGAGGACCTGTGTGTCCTAGAAATTTTGGATTTCTGACATGAACCTGTGAGTAAATTACACAAATTAACCACGTGGAGTGTTGGTCATTCCCCTCACCTGCTCCAATTCTGGTGACACCAGGACAAAACATTGTCAACAGGTGTCACCGGGATAGGTGAAAGAAAAGGCCAGCACTCCACATTCTTAGTTTGTCAGGACAAGAAGTGTGGGATTATTTACCCAGATGGACAGATGCAGTAATAAACTCAACAGAAGTTCTGATTTTTTTCTCAGTTTGTCAAACACTAAAAAAAGTTGTGACTGAAGCTGGTCTTTAAAGAAGAGTCTGTTGCTAGGGTTTTACACTTAAAGAAACCTGTTGTGAAAGAAATACATCAGTTCAAGTCCCTGGGTAGGAGGTCTAATAATAAGTTTACCTTAAAGCCCAAATAATGTTTGTTACTGTATTAAACAAGCTATAAAGAATGAATGTGCAGCCAAAAGAGATTCTTGTTATGCGTCTACCTGAGCTCCTTTGCAAGTACAAACTACTCTCCCCCAGTATTTGGCGGCAGAGAAAGACCCTTGCTCTCTGTGGGGAAACAGTGGTCTCTCTGCAGTTGTCCAATACCGTACATCTCCTTTCCAAGTCAG